CTCCTAAGCTATGGAATAATCAGCCTCTGAGCATAAGACAGGCCTCTTCTCTTGCTGTTTTTAATTCCCTTCTTAAGACTCATCTTTTTTCCTTGGCTTTTGGCACAATTTGAGAGGTTTTACTGTGTTTTATTCTGTTTTTAAGTATTCTACACTCGTTCTTTTTCCTATTTTATAATTTTATTGTATTTTATGATTGTGTACAGCACTTTGGTCCTGTCCGGTGCATAAAGTGCTTCATAAATAAAGTTGGTATGGTACATAAACAATAGGTGGGCTGATATGATCTGCAGACATTGTCCTACTTACCTGTATAATTCACTTACATTATGTGGAATAAAGAAAATAATCACAAAGAAATAAGTTACATAATAAAAAAACATGATTACCACCAATGTAAAATTGCATCCTGGCACATGGATGTTACATATGGATAAATTAAGTCAATAGTGTTAGAACCAATTAAATTCTATTCACTTTATTTCTATAGCGTCAATTCACAACACATGTCATCTCTTTACAGTTCAACCAGATCATCCAGTTAAATTGATTCAAAGTTTTCTATCTAAGGAAAACCAGCTGATTGCATCGACTCATTGACTCGAAGGCAATCCCTCACACGAAGCATGCTTGTAGCGACAGTGGAGAGGAAAAACTCCCTTTGAACTGGAAGAAACCTCCAGCAGATCCAGGCTCGGTGTGAGCAGCCATCTGCTGAAGCTGCTGGGGTTCAAGTCAGAAGCACAGTGGCTGCAGAGTGAAGAGGTTTTTGATTTTTGGCTCTGATCCCTTGCAGAAACAATGCCTTTAAAGTCACATTTTCATCATGCATGGATTCCATTTGCTACCTCCCTCTTAAAGAAGCTTGTCTTTGTCCTGGGCATCTCCGAGTTGTTCTGTGACCTATTCTAGGTGTTCTTATCAAATTCTGGAGATATGCATTAGGCAATGCAACCCTGGAATTTATTAGGCAAGTAGATAAATTAGACAGATTGATCTAGATATGCCTATCTGAGTAAAAAGTGATGCTTCATTTGTGCAAAGCAGAATCCTGTTTTTCTATAGCTTTCACAGCGAACTGAGTGAAACATTGCCTCTGCTGTCTCACCTTCTCAAACCCTCCCTCCAATTTCCTCTCACATCCCCGTAAGCCGAAATACCACCACCTTCAAATTTCTCACAAACATTAAGACATTCACTGTGTTCTGGGAAGCAGCCAGGATCCAGGTTGGGGGAAAAAAGGACAGCAAACACAGGGCTGCTGACGCTCAGACTCAGTTCTGCCGGGCAGAGGGAGCGGGGGCCCCGTATGAAGCCCCCCCCCTAATAAACTCTGATTTGTTTGGATATGAGAGGTTTGGCTGGAAATTAGTTCTGCAGCTCAGCTGTTTTCTGTCACTTTTCCTCCGGGAAGATCAATATTTTTCTTGAACCCTGTCCATGTGTTTCTACTAATACTTCACACCATTAGAACTGGGTTTGTATCCATCTCTGACCAATAGTCCACCTTCAAATTAATCTTAGCTGCAGTGTGTAATGAAACACAAGGCAATCCTAAAAACAAAACCTATTAAAGGCTTCTCACTTTAGCATTCTCTGTTAAACGACAAAAAAAAGAATAAAATGGTGTATGATGAAAAAATAATCCTTCAGGTGATTTCTGGTCTGCTGTTTTTATTCTCAGACCTGAAAGTCCCTCTCTCCCACCCCTGATGAGTACTCAGGGTTGCTCCCGGCTCTCCTGCCCACCTCTAATCCATGCCTCACTCATCTCGGTCCCTCCTGCTTTTCTTTCACCGCTGGTTTCACTGAACACATCAGACAACGAGTTAAAAATGTCCTGGACGTTTGCAACGCTCCTGACTCTCCTTGCAGTGCTGCTTGCATTGAACTGTGAGTCTAATGCTTTCATATGCATCTATATATGAAATGTTATGTACTATTAACTGTTTTAAGTACTGCACTCTTTGTTTTTGATTTTACTTTTCTCATTTTTGTCTCCAAACTCAGTGTCTCCCGAGGCTGAATCTGCAGCTGTGGGCAGCAACACAGGAAGTGTAAAAAGTCCAGCAGGTGTGGAGCACATATTTAACTGCTGTGCATCATATTGTTTTATCCCTCAGCTCTAAAAAATAAACCCAACCTGCTCCCCCCACAGGTCCGCTGAGGGGGATCTTCATGAAAGAAACCGATGCCTCCAGTTTCTTCAGAAAACGCAGCAAACGGGGCATAAAATCCCAGCATGAGATCAACGGTGAGTTTATGGAGGATTGAACGATGTGGTTTGATCAGAGATGCTGTGGCTGTTACTGCGTTCAAGTGGTTAAGGTGGCAATCTGTGTGTTACCATGAAGAAGAACAGCTTTACAGGGGAGGAACTCAAACCTGCACAACTGTTTACCCAGTTAAATATATTCTAAATTCAATGCAGTTTAGAGACCAGATAAAAGTCCTGCACTAGAACGTTTTCTAAACACAAATTTTTACTCTTAAAAACATTCATTATATCTTGAAATGTGTGCAATAACCACTGGGCTATACTGTTCTCAACATATCAGAATCCTTTGCATACTGAACTACAATATACTGTATGCTTTGTGCATTAGATGCACATTTTGGGGTGAATTAGGAATATTAGATATTATGCAAAAAGAAAATATCTGCAGCATCCATAAGACCTGAAACTTAACGTAAAGGTATGTCTGATATTTTGCTTAATTTCTAAGAAGAGAGGAGAAATCATCAACTCATAATAAATTTAGATATTGATTTAAATCTCTAGTAATATAAGAAACAGGCTCCTGTGCAATGCAAAAAATGGAAATCTAAATAAGTAATTTTTGCTCAAATTAAGTGCATTTTTTCATGAATTGAGGAGGTAAGTGAGACACTTTGCCAATGGAACAAGACAATTTACATTTAAAATAAGAAAAAAGAATATTGCTTTTTCTTATTTCAAGTGTATATTATCTAATTATCTTATTTTAGGAGTAAAAATACTCATTCCATTGGCAGATCATCTTATTTGGCTGCTCAAATTAAGGGTAAATACACTTAATTTAAGACATCTTTTACTTAATTCTAGATGTTTTTTGCAGTGTGATGCTTGCGATGTTCTGCCCGTTTCGGACCCTATTTTCTGGACTTTGACCGACTGCAGACCATAGAAGTGTTCGTCTGCTGCAGCAGGAGTCACAGGACAGCATGGTGCTCCCAGAGCCACACCACTACAAGCAGCCACTCACTGTATAGTGATTGACGGTTGCAGGATAGGGCAGGGATTGATGCTGTGTAACATGTTGTGCTTCTGCCAACAAGGTGAAATTTTCTGCAGGTTAAAGAGCAAGAAAAGCAAAGCTGGGAACGGAGAGTTCTGAGTGGGTAGGTGGGAGACGTATGAGGAATGTGCAGCCATGTTAGCAGAGAGGGGTCAGAAAAATATTATATAGACGAAACAAACAGGCTGCTTAGAGACAAACAGGCTTTTAAAATCTTTACTGCATTCCATAAAAAAAAAAAAAACATTAATACTAATTATATTATTGATGATAAAAGCCTAAATCTGTAAATGTTCTGATTTATTTCTATCTGACATCTCTGAATGTGCTGCAGCTCCCAGTGAAAGCACAAATGTGAGCACTGAAGTCTGAGCAGGTCAGGGGTCGTGACCTTTCTTTGAAAAGGTTGGCGCTGCAATCCTAAACTCAAAGCCGATGTCTTTACTGATATCGCAGACGGTGTGGAAGTTACACCGACAGACGGAAATACAATCCTGTGAAAAAAAAAGAAAAGGTTTCCTCTATTTTCCTTTTTGACAATTTAACTTTAGACATCAACAAATAGGATTCAATATAAAACAGAAAAAAACAGGAAAAGGTTTAATAGAACCTGATTAGGTGAAAAAGAAAAAAAGATCCAAAAACTAACAATCAGGACCTTCTCTAAAATAAAATATGGGTGATTAATTAATAGACCTATATCAGTCTAGATCCAATAACTATAGGCAAATCAAAAAGCTTAACAAAAAATAATAAAATAATGTATTTTCACTGGAAAAATTATAGAAATAAGTAAAAATTTCTTAAATTAAGTGTATTTACCCTTGATTTGAGTAGGTAAATTAGATACTTTGCCAATGGAATGAGTATTTTCAATCTTAAAATAAGATAATTTGATAATATGCCCTAGAAATAAAACAATCCAATTGTGTTTTCTTATTTTAAATCTAAATTGTCTTGTTCCATTGGCAAAATGACTCTTTCATCTCCTCAATTCAAGAACAAATTCACTTATGTTAAGAATAAATTGACTTATTTAGATTTCGATTTTTTTCCAGTGTTATAATAGGATAATTTACAGTTACTGAAGTACATTAACAATAGTTGGGTTTCTTTTTCACAATCCTAACTTTATTTGACTAGATAATATTGAAAAAAATAAGTAAATTTTTAATCATCTTATTTATTGTCATAAATTGTCATAATTAACATTAAAATGGCCTGAAAACATCACCCTGCATGTAAATGTACAGAGATCATCCCCTTCTTTACTATTTTCCAATTTTGTTACAATCAGAAAATTCAAAGCATCTAACGGCCATTTTAAAACACAAATCAGTGCATATTAGCTTAATGAGAATAGAATAATTAAAAGTCTAATAATTAATTTAAAAATTCAAGTCTAGTAAACATGTGAAATGAATTTGTATTCAACTCTATCAACACTAAACAGCTTAATTTCCCCTTCAGCAGATCAAAAATGTAACATTTGATCTCAAATGTTCAGAGCATATTTGCTGTGGTTCCAGTGTATCTTCTAGGACTACAACTTTTGTTTAATTTGTTTATTTATTTTTACTATTTTTTTCCATGAAAATAAGATTTGCGGTAAGCATTAAATGTGGTTCCACCTCCTGAGGCACCTACTGTACATGCCTGTGAACTTTTGCAACATTAATTTGTTGTATTTCTGAGGGAAATGTTTCCCTTTGACATCCTTCACAGAGAAGAATTTCCTAAAAGTCGCATTTAATCTGATGCTTTGTCTTATTTGAAAAAGAAAAAAATATGCTTTTGCACCTTGTCTCATTGAACAACAGGCTGTTACTAAAAAAAAAAAAAAAACGACACAGCCCTTGAATCTAAAATACAGGTAACATTTAACCTGTCATGATTTTGGACTGTGGAGTACCCAGAGATAACCCATACATGCAAGGAGAGAACATGCAAACTCCATGCTGAAAGACGCCAGGCCAGGAACCAAACCCAGAACCTTCTTTCTGCAAGGCAACAGTGCTACAAACTGCACCACCGTGCAGCCCAACTGCCTATTTGGTTAATTTCTTCCATGATGTGTTTGCAGCTGAGCAAATGCAAGTTTTGGCTGCAGACGAGCGAAGGAGGGAGTTTCATGAGGACAAGAGGAGTAAATTTGAGAGCTACGCTGAGGAGGATAATGATGGTATGTGAAGCCTGCAGAAAAGAGGAAAAATGGGGAATTTAGACATTTTTTTCAGCTTATCTTTCTTATCCTGATCTCTTCAGAGCAAAATGAGAGAACAAGAGAGAGCACCGAGCAGTGGAGGGAGTTCCACCATGATGGGATGAGTCCGCCCTATGAGTACAACCGTCACACTGTCTGAGAACCGAACAGGAAGAGACCTCAACAGCTGCCAAACCTGGAGAAATAAAGCTTCAGTAAATATGCTTTGCTCTCCTGAAAACATGAATTGTATTAGTCTGAGGATATGAAACAAACGTCTTCTCCAGTTTTAAATGCAGTTTTCCTTTTACAGTTTAATTATATTCATGTAAGGATTGATCAAACCAGATCGGACCATTAATATAGATATTTGTATTATCAAATATGTTAGATATTAATCAGATTGTTTAATAATGCCAGAAAGTATTCAAAAGAGTAAAACCCAAATTAATTTGAATTAATAGTATTTTTAACTGTGTTCAAATTTGATCTATGACAGTAAAATAAACCTATCCATAAATATCTTATCATTTATTTATCATGGTATTGGACTCTAAACCATGACACTACCACCTTCATGCCTCCAGATGACATTTTAGGCATCTTATTAGCATGAATCAAGTGTTTTACACAAATGATTGCATAGTATAATATACAAACAGGATTATGTTATTTTTCTCAGCTAATGGCAGGGGTTAAAGGTATATTGGAGGATTTTTGCAATATTTTTAAAAGACCCGCCCTCTCCTCTTTAAAAAAAAATGCACATGCACAACCCTGTACATGCTCCTGAGAGGAACCGTCTATTAAACGCGTGCGAGAGCGTGCACTAGCCCGTTTCTCCTCGTGCACCCCCTGTTGAAAAGGACCAGTTGATGATCCAGCCGGATAAAGAACATCCTCAACTATTCCTTTAATACTCCGTACTCTGTAGCATAGTTTACATTAAACGTAAAGCTGAAAGTTATTCTAAACTAGCAAATCGTGCCTCTGTTGCCTCAGTTCTCTTTTTTAGCACATAGTTTAAGCTTTTACTTTATTGTATGAATGCGTCATATCTGTTAAAAAGCTCCACTGTATTTGCCTTTCAGTTGTGTGCAAATTGTAGCTTACTTTCCTTTAAAGAGCATAAAACACAGCGGATATTAGAAAACACATTGCTGTTAAAATGGTAGGATTTTTTCATATTAAAACGAGAGCTTTAAAATCATTTCAGAGCTTTTTCCATCTGTTGGAAAAATAAATAAAGATTAAATACTGTGGTTGTTGAGGGGGCAGTAGATGAGTGGATTAATATCTTTTTTTTTTTTTGTATTTTATATACTCTAATAATCCCAGTGGGAAATTACTTCTCTGCATTTAACCCATCCCCTTGTGGAGCAGTGTGGGGTTAAGGGTCTTGCTCAGGGACCCAGTGTGGCAGTCTGTGGGAGATCGAACTCACAAACTCAGGATTCAAAGCCCAATGCCCTAACCACTAGGCCGCCACTACCCTACTCATATTTGGAAATATACTTTGGCTAAAAACTAAACAAAAAAACAAAACATGACACTGCCACCACTGTGCTTCACAATGCACGTCACATGGGTATTAATTCATAGTTGTTTTGTCTCCAGCTGAGTTCTAAAGGACAGAATTCTTATTAAAGGTGGAAAAACATCTGAAATAACTTATTATACAATGTTTAAAGGGGATTTTATACTTCATATATCCTACGTATAACTCAGAATAACCTCCCCCGACTTAGCTATAGATTACAATTCTGCAATATACTCCTTTATGTCAACTTAAAAGCTTTCACTGCTTTGCTTTTGCTTTATTGTGAAAGTCTATGCAACATATTAAAAAATAAACACAAAAGACTTTTGAATGTTGTAGAGTTTTTTTTGTATTTACAGTAAGCAGACTTCCAAAATCTTTGATATTCACCACGTTTGTCGATGATTAAAAGTTAGAAAACCTTAGATAATGGCCATGCACTTGTTTCTTTTCTACATTTTTTTTTTTTTTAATCTTGAAATTTCACATTCATGTTGAGCGATTAAAAGTTAAGTCAGAGAAAGCACAGAGAAAATATAAAGATAGACCCCTTTTTTTTCTCTGTGAGAGACCAGTCTTTAGAGAGCGACAGAGCAGGAGGGGGAAGAAAAAAAAAAATAGTTTCTGCTAAATTCAACAGGCTGGTATGAAAGCACAGTGATTAAACACAGAAGGGCTGAACTGTTCTCAGAACAACCACTTCAGGAGCGGAAGCAGAGCACGATACTTCAACTTCACCACTGTACACTCATCTGACTCTGAAGCTTAACCAGAATACCGTCACATCTGTACGTCATTGCAGTCAGAATAACTGGTAGTTCTCCACATTTATTCAAGGTTTACCAATAAGAAACATAGTGTCAGGAAGTAAACATCTATCCCTGTGGCACAAGGGGACAAAAAGCTGTATTTGGGTGTTTCTTTTTTATTTTTTTTAACATATATAATCTTTTTTAATACGTTGGACGAGTCAGTTGTGATTGATCGCACAGAGGCGTTTGGTTAGATTCAAGCACATCCCTGCAGATCCCTGAGAACTCATAAAGCGCCCTCCTGTGGACAAAAGAGGACCTTACAGTCACATCAAAACCTGTTGAGTAAAACAACACTTAAAAAGTCACATCTATTAGATATGGTGCTAATGTGGCAATAACTGCAAGTCCAGTTTTAATAAACATTTACACATCTCAGCAAATTATATTCTTACAAAAAGTCATAAGAAAATAAATATTCCAATTGATGATCAATCGTTTGCACGCTCTCCCTCTATGATCACAGCCGTAACCGATGCACGTTGTCCTGCTCTGATTGGTAGCATACTAAAGAAACAAAGACACAACACTGACAGCGTACTGTTGGAAGTTATGATGCCGTGAGCCGTCACAGCGAACACCACAGCGGGTTGGACGGGGGGGGCCCCCCCATAACTGCAGGAAGTTCAAAGTGCAGATGATGGCACGAGTATTAACCACAGCTTGAAGCTTTACGTTTCACCTGCATAACATGACTCTACAGAACGGATCCAGGAAGGATATTTACACAAGGCATTTAGAGGAACAACCTTTTACGATCGAGACAAGCGGCGGCTTCTAGAGGGTTCAGTTCAGCTTAGTCCTGTTCCACCCACAGCGGCCGCCTGGTCCGTCTGCCAGACAAAACCGTTCGTCTCCACACAACAGCAGCTTCAGGTGAGTCTTCCCTTCCTCTGAACCTCCGGGTCTGTGTAACGATGTGAAGGGAAGCGGTGGGTGACGCACTGAGCCGTGCTAAATGAGGCTGAGCCAACGCTCCTTAAATTCCTCCCCCAAGGATTGGCATTAACAGATGGGAGGCAGCGGGATGGGCAAACTGGGCAACCACGTCGCGTCGTGAGACCTCCAGCTGTGGTCTCAAAGCTCGGTGGTCTCCCAGCTCACCTCCCGCGGAACCTGGCGTCATTTAGTCCCAGTGTGGATGACCGTGACGGTGGAGGGGCGCGGCCGAGCCGGTTCAGCCGCCACCTGGGGATCCTCCAGGGCTACAGGAACATCTGAGTCCTTGTTGTGCACTTTAACAACAGATGGAAGAGGAGCTATGGGAGGACCTGTGAGGGACATTGCATGAATTAGGAACAAAAATCAATTCTTCTGACTTTAATTAACAGTTTATTTCTGGTTTCTTAAATTGTCCTGTAATGATTAATTTCCCCAAGCAGAGGGTTTTATTTCCCCTATTGATTCAGGAATGCCAGAAGGTATTCTTTAGCAGGGCTGTGGCTACTTTTAGTTCTGCATTACGGTTTGGGTTTAGCTACTTTTTTATGTGCAAGAAACAAATCCCCACAGCATTCTGCTGCCACCGCCGTGTTTCGCAGAAAAGAAGACTCAAACTCACTGCGGATCCAGACATTTGAATTGAGAAAGCTTCCTGGAGAGGTAGCGAAACGTCTTCAAATCTTGGAAATCTTTTTTTTTTTGAATTTTTACGGAACGCGGAAAAGAAGGTGTAAGCAGCATACAGGATGTATTCCCAATGTAGAGAACTATAAACTATACAATTTGCTTTTAAGAGTTTTAATATTTACTGTTTTGTCAACAAAGTTTCTTTTTTTTTTTCTTTTTAACTCCTAAACATAAAATTATATATATTTATTTTATATTCAGCTTATTTACTTGATCTTTGATTTTCCACCAGCATTCTGTCAGATGAGCATACCCATAGTCAATACCTGTTCAGTTTATCCCTTTAGTTTTGTACAAAAAAATAAACTTTATCTACCTCAATGGACATGTATCCCTGTAGTCTTGTACAATAAAACAATTTAATTACTTACTTTTTGGTGTTTTTTGAAGCGTATTGCGATCTGACCTTAAATTTTTTTTTTTACATGGCTAAAAGGACGCACACCCATGGAGGTAGTTTAAAGCCTATTTTTCCTACAAATGTAAAGGGATTCATATCTTCAGGTAACACAGAGTGTCAGACTTAATAATATTACTTTAGCGATAGTTTCAAGGTGTTGCTTCATTGTATGTCTCGTACCATGTATTTCGGTTGTGCTGTTCTTTTTTCATCTGGTTACAGGTGATGAAGCAGACTGAAAATGTTTTGTCATTGTCTTCTTTCTATCTCTTCCTTCTTTCATATTTTCTCTTTTTTTAATCTTTTTTCCTTTTTTTCTTCTGTTTTTCTGCTCTATTTACATTGCAGTGTCCATATAAACTGTAAAACTCCCTGCATAATTATAATAAAGAAATTTATATGCATGAAACAAGTGGAGCAGTATGGCAATTGCCGTACTGTTATACTTGTGAAAGTAAAATCTGTTGGGCTCTTTTTGGCAT